AGACACAGAGAGAGAGGGAGAACAAGCAGGCGAGCGGGAGAGGAAGAAGCAGGCTCCCCACGGAGCAGGGAGCCCGATGCAGGGCTTGATCCCAGGACCCTGGGAACATGACCTAAGCCGAAGGCAGATGCTTAACAGACTGAGCCACCCAGGGCCCCCAGAAACACTTTTTTCTAGAGCTTTGAGCCGTTCCCTGTCCAACCCAGAATGTAAACTTCACATCAGAAACCAAATTTAAAAAAAACAGATTTCCAAGGTCTGGGTGGAAGAGAGGATGCCCAGGTTGTCAACGAGGAGAGACAAAGGCTGACACTCACTGTCCTGCATTTATGATAACAAAAACTAAAGGGAAATGGGAGGCTGACAGGAAGGGGCCAGCCAGGCTATGAGTCCCTGTTATGTCCACGTCCCCTAAGCTTGCCATCAACCTGAACTGCTCTGACCAGCTTCCGCACGTTCCGTTACTGCCAACGAACCCACCAGGAAGGAAATGTTATATCCCTTCTTCGAAAGAGGAAGGGGTTGAGAGGAGAAACATCCCATCAAGTGTTGGCTACTCAGGCCTGTGAGGTTTCCACAGAGATCAGTGTTTAGAAATTCAAATCAAGGGCACCTGGGTGGCTCAGTTGGTTAAGCGTCTGCCTTCAGCTCAGGTCATGATCCCAGGGTCCTGGGATCGAGTCCCGCATCGGGCTCCCTGCTCTGCAGGGAGCCTGCTTCTCCCTCTCCCACTCCCCCTGCTTGTGTTCCCTCTCTCGCTGTGTCTCTCTCTGTCAAATAAATAAATAAAATCTTAAAAAAAAAAGAAAAAAGAAAAAAGAAAAAAGAAATTCAAATCAAAGGCTCCGTGGTGGCCGTATGAGAGGACTTCCTAAAGGCCTGTCTGGAGATTAGGGAAGGGGGAGGCCATCAGCTGGGAAAGGTCTGGCACACACAGAAGAGTGGGCACCCCCGGTGGCCAAGGAAGCTGACAGAAGCCAAGGTACCCCTGGGTCTCCGAGCTGTACTCCGCAGTCCTCCTCTTCTCATTTTCTGGCGTTCTCCACAGAACGGGCCCTCCAGGAGAAAGCTGCCGTCTGATCTGGGAGACTGAGGCCTGTACTTCAGAGGAGGCTCCCACAACTGGGGTCTTACCTGGCTCTGTGGGGTTGCTGGACCTTCTGTTCCCTGGATAAGGGCCTCATCTGGTTGTGGAGGGAAGCCTTCCTCTTGGGCCTTTTAATAATTCTGGAGAGGAAGGAAAGCAAGCCCCCAGGCAGGCAGGCAAATGTGGACAGAGAATAGAGACCGGACTAGGTGGGAGCAGGGAGGGACAGGCCATCACAGGGGGAGGCCAGAAGGGGGAACTCAGAGCGGGGGTGGGGGGGTGGTAGTGGGTGGTGGGTGGTGTTTCTTCTGCTTACCAGAAGAGATTGCAAGTGGGTGTCTACAGAGCCGTGGACAACTAGAGCTTCCCTTTCTGTGGCTACAGGGATGCTGCATCCAGTCTGTCCTGGGCCCTCTTTTCTGCTCTCCTAACTCACTTTCCCTCAGGGCATCTCACCTACTTCTACAGCTCCAATTTGCATCCTCAAATCCAGCCATAGTGATTTTCCTAACAAGCAAATCTGACTTATTTCAAGCCTCTTTCTAGATCCCCATTCCCATATACCATGTTCAAGACCTAAGCCTGGGATTAGGGGCTCACAATTCTATTCAGAAGTATAGCTTTTTACAAAGTTCCATTATGAACTATTTCAAGCCCACAAAAAGGAAGGAGGACTATAGCAGCACACATGTACGCATCCCCTCACTTTAGAGACAAGTCCTTACCAGAACAACCAAAGCTTCCTGTGGACTCCCACATCCCCCTCCTCTCCCACAGAAGTCACTGCTATCCTGCTTTTGTCATTATTCCTATTATTTATTTGCAACTTTACTTAACATGGCTTCTTTATTTCCTTATAACTTATTCTTCCTTGTGAGCCTCTTTTGCTGGGTAAATTTTGGGTTTTAGTACAGTCCAGGAAATGCCATGAAGGGCTCATTTAAATATGGAGTCCCTTCAGGCACATTCTCAGGTTCTCTGTTATCTTCTTCCCTTTGTTGCTCTCCAACATGGTGTCCGGGTAATTCACTGGTTGGGAGGGGTGCTGTCTTTTGTGACCTATGACTGGAGATTGAGAGGGTAGAAGACAAAGTGTTTAAAACCATAACATGTCTTCCAGATCCTCACTGGTTTCTGCTATAGGGTGGCTGGGAACTCCTCCTCTGGTCTCTTAGGTTAGCCAGGGCTCAGTCATCCTGCTCAGCTTCCCCTACCATTCTGACTCCAAGGGCTCTCTGCTAGTCTCCCCTCCAGCCTGTGGCCTATGCTGCCCACCCAGCCTTTGCTATGGGCTCGCCTGGTCCTTCACCATTGCAGACTCAAGTCAACTCTCTGACTCTCAACTCAACAATCTCCCATGACATGTGGGAACCTCTGAGTCCTGTCCATGCCACAGGGAAACTGAAGAGGGTTCAGAGAAGCCAAATGCCAACGCTTTCTTGGCCTAATCGCATTTCTTGGTCTGTTTTACTGTGATGGGTCAGGTCAGTCTGAGAGGCATTTTCCTTTCAGATCCCAAATATGAAGCAGGGCATATCCCCCAGGTCTTGGGGTTCGCATCAACCTACCTGACAAGCAGGCAAGTCTGTCCTGCATCTGCACCCTTCTTACTTTTGTGGTAGGTAGTCTCCACAGATGGTCACTGTTAATTCATCTCTCCCTGTATGGGCATGTTGCTCCTCCCGTTAAGAAGTAGAAGCTACTTCCTCTCCCTGACTCAGGATGGGCCTTGTGACTTGCCTTGATCAACCAAGTGCAGTAGAAGTGATGTTCTGGTACTTCTGAGCCTAGATCTTAAAGGCACGGCAGCTTCCTCTTCTTAATTGGAAGCCATTGAACCATGTAAGAGGTCCAACCACTCTGAGATTGTCATGCTATGAGGAAGTATTTAATATATCCCAGCAGAGGCACCAAACATGGGAGTTAGGAAGTTTTCTTGAATGTTCCAACCCCAATAAATATTCCATGAACAGAAGAACCACCCAGCTGAACTCAGCTCAAATTGTAGAATTATGAGAAAGGATAAAATATTATAGTTTTAGCCACTAAGACTTAGGGCTGGCCTCTTCAGCAGCACTAGCTAAATGAAACACCTCTCCTGCTGCAGGGCTCACCCCTGCCTGCCTTACACTCTATGCTCCAACAGCTCAGACCAGCCTGTGGCTCTCTGCACCGACTAGGCTGTGTCTCACTTCCATGCCTTTAAGCATGAGAGAACCCTTTGCCATTCCATCTAAATACACCCCCCATTTGGGTTCTTTTCCCACCTTTCTCCTCTGCCTGGCTAACTTTTATTCCACTTTTGTCTCATTTTCTTTTTTTCCTAACACCCATGATACCCTCGGCAAATCACTATCATTGCATTAATGACATTACATTGTAATTGTTTCTTTACGTATCTGCCTCCCAAACTAGGCTTGACCTATTTAAGGGTGGGTTCTACGTCTTATTCAGCTTTGAGGCATCACTTTATATGGAAATGCAAGTAAGTCCCTTAAACTGCTTTAGTTCAATTTCCCTGTGTCAGGGAGTACATTCAGTTGTCTGTAACAGAAACCCAACCTCACTGAGTTAACCAAATAATGGTTTGTTTGGGTTTTTTTTTCATATAACAAGTCTGAAAGTAGGCCTTCTGGGACAGAAACATTGGTTTTGCAATGTCAGAAAATTCTGGTTTCCTTCTATCTTCTTGCTCTACCACCCTCAGAATATGGCTGTCTTCCCCACAGTTCACGTAGAAGTCACAAACGGCTCTTCCACCACCTGCCTCATACCCATGGTCCAAGCAGGGAGAACAAAGGAACAAGCAGGAAGGGGCTCTGCCCAAATCAGGAAAGCAACACTTTTACAAAAATCCTCAGAAGACTTCGATTCAAAACTCACTGGCCAGAACCATATCACCTGGCTATCCAAAGTTGTGGGGCAGAAATGAAAAAAATGTTTGCAAAGTGATAAATATCTGCAGTAATTGCCCGGAGAGCCTGAACTTTAAACGAGAAGCAGTAACCGCTTGGATTCGTCTCTGTAGAAAACATGGAAAGAATGGACGTTGGGTAACCACTGATAATGTTGGCCTCGTTCTCCTAACCCAGCAAACCAGGGTTAGGACCTACCTTCAAGAGTGGATGAGATTAAGAGAGAATGTGGGCACAATATTGTTCTTAGTACCAAGGACATAGTAAGCACTCAATAAAAATCATTCTCTTTCTTGGATTTGCAGATGCGGCGCTTAACTCAAGCATCCAGCGGTTTTCCCTGAAGGAGCAGAAAATTAGTTGGCTCAAGGCAGTTGTCCTGCTCTCTGCAATTCTTCCACAGTGAATTTGCGTCTGATGATTAACGAGTCTTTTCTCAATAGTCTATTCAACTGTTCATAAATCCAAACAGCATCATTATGACTCTTCACTTACAACGTGTGACCCAGAAAAAACAAAGCTTGGAGAGATACAAAAGGCAGATGATCTGTTTTCATTCCTTTGTGGCAAGAGTGCTGCATATTTCGCTTCTGATTCATGGAAAAATATCCAGCACACAGGAGTCGGCTAGATTGGTGAGAAGCCTCAGACCAGGGGGTTTAAGAATACAGTTTCCAATGTCTTCATTACCGGAATCTAGGAAGCTGACCTGGAAAACGTTAGCAACAGAAAGATTTCTTTTTGCTGGAAACTTGCTCTGTGAATCCGCAATCCTCCTACCCCCACAGGTTGTGTTGGTTTGTTTAAGCAGCTTATTTAAAACTTATGAATTGGTGGAGCGTCTGGGTGGCTCAGTCCATTAAGCATCTGCCTCCGGCTCAGGTCATGATCCCAGGGTCCTGGGATCAAGTCCCACATCAGGCTCCCTGCTCGGCTGGGAGTCTGCTTCTCCCCCTACCCCTCCCCCCTTCTTCTGCGCTCTCGCGCTCTCTCTCTCTAACAAATAAAATATCTTTAAAAAAGAAAAATAATTCTGTAGTGGTTAGGACTTTTTCCGTTTGCAAGGGAAAAAAACACAAAATGGCTTATTACAAAGTGAATTTATTGGCTTGACTGACTAAAACCTCCAACAGCTGAGTTGCAGGCATGACTGGATCCAGGTGCTCAGGAATCTCTCCATCTCTCGGGTTCTCCTCTGTGGTAACAAAACAGGCCCCTTGCAGCTCCTAAATTACTACCTACCAGTGTGACAATCCCAGCAGAAAGATGATGCCTCTTGGGCAATGGTTCTAGAAAAAGCTCCAGAACTGGTCCAACTTGGGTCACACACCCACCCCCGAACCGATCACTGTGGTAGAGAGAATGTGGTTCTCTTATTGGCTAGGCTGGGTCACATGTCTAAGGGAGCGGGTGTAGGGGGCAGGATCAGCCCGATTCAAACCACTTGGGTTGAGAGTGCGAGAGAGAAAGTTGATCCTCCAAAGGATAGCTGGGGTATTCCTGCCAGTAGAACATCATGTGGAGGCCAAAAGCCTCCAAATGTCCTCAACAGATACAGATTCATTTAGCTATTATTGGACATGAATACCGTAATAATACTAGTGACACTCTACCGTCTGTCAAAATCCGACTAGTTTTTCAGGCTCATTTCAAATGTCACCACAAATAAATCTTCTCTAATAAGATTAATTTTCCATCAGCACACTGTTTATTTTTCTCTCATGGTCTGGATCATATCTTGCCCCGGATTATGTTGAGTTACACACCCGTTTGTCTCCTCTCTTGTTTGGAAGAAACTTAAGGCAGAGCCAGAGTGGGGCATGCCGCCCATTCATCCCCCAGAGCCTGAGGATGAAGGCTTCTGTCCTGATGTGACCAGGCCTCAGAATGAAAAGAATGCAGGATGGTGAGAAGGGGAGAAATCACATGACTCCCTCCAGGAAGAAAACGCATCCACGATGCAAAATTGGATCATAGAAGTCAGGCTGGCTTTTCTTTTTTAAGTCCTACTGGAATCGTCTTTCTTTCATACGTGTGGTGAAACCCAGAGTGAAGCTGAAAACAGATTCAACCCCTAAGATGGCAGTCAACTCGGAAATTTCCTGTCCTGAATGAATAGGAGAGAGAGAGAGAGAGAGTTGTGAAGTGCCTTTCTCCCTTCAATAAACAAAAATGCGAATACTCCAGATGCCTTTTACACTCTCCCCAGGGCTAGCAGATTATTAATAAGTTCAGAATTTTGCCACGCTGCTCTTATTTTTACAAGCCGTCTGTTTCCTCTCCTGCCGTTTGTGGCTTCATTCCAGAGACACTCCCCCTGGGGGAGAAGGAGCTGACATACCAAGATCTTTCTAGTGTCACCCTTGCTTGCAGGCACCTGCAGATTCCCCTTGAAGGTTTCCTGTTCCACTCAACAGGTTTTAATTATGTGAACTAATATTTGCTCACTATGTGAACCATGTTTACCCTCGTAAAAGGCCAACTCCAAAGGACTGGGGTTAGGCAAGCCCAGAAAAATCTCAACCCTTATGCAAACGTGCTATTATTTCCCGCCACCTACTACTTCCTTACTGGTGTCATTCCAGGCACTCTGCTTTTTGGACATCTATCTCCCGGTCTTATTTAGAGCAAAACCCTACAAGTTTTTTCTTTTCAATTTCCACCAATCCCGGGACTAAGTTCTCCTCCTACAGATGTCTGTTCTTTCTTTCTTTTTTTAAGATTTTATTTAATTATTTTTGAGAGAGATAGCATGAACGGGGCGGGGGGGCATTGGGCAGAGGGAGGAGCAGACTCCCCACTAATCAGGGAGCCCGATATGGGACTAGATCCTAGGACCCCGGGACCATGACCTGAGCTGAAGGCAGACGCTTAACCAACTGAGCCACCCAGGCGCCCTACAGATACCTGATCTTTCTGTGAAGAAATATCCTCTGCTGGCTCCTTAGGAAAGATTAATTGTTAATCACCTTAATAGGGCTGCAGTGGTGCTTCCCTTTCTGTGGTTTCTTGGTCATATTTCTGAACCAAAAATTAAAGACTGTCTCAGAAATTCTGAGATGTATTGTTTCTCAATTTTTGTCAAGCATATTGCATGGTTTCTTCCATTGCCAAGTTTCTCCCTAATAATTCTGACATGTTTGTCCCCATACACACTTATTTCCCATAACCAAAGAGCCTTGTGGTGTGTTGCTGGGCGGAGAGGGGAGGGGATCCTAGAACTCAAAAGATACAAAAATCGGGGCGCGCCTGGGTGGCTCAGTCGTTAAGCGTCTGCCTTCGGCTCAGGTCATGATCCCAGGGTCCTGGGATCGAGCCTCGCGTCGGGCTCCCAGCTCAGCGGGAAGCCTGCTTCTCCCTCTCCCACTCCCCCTGCTTGTGTTCCCTCTCTCGCTGTGTCTCTCTGTCAGATAAATAAATAAAATCTTTAAAAAATAAAAAAATAAAAGATATAAAAATAGAAGCTAGTTATGTGAGACTTCATGTATTATAATAACAAACACAAGAGTTCCTCATGTATTGTTTTATTGGCTGTTAGAGTCCAATGTCTTCATTCTGAGTTTAGAGGTGCAAACACACAAACCAGGCTGCTCACATCTTGGAAAAGGGGGCAGAAAACAAGTCACACATCTATCAACCAATCAGAAATGAGCCATTTTATCCACAAAGAAGGCTGAAGGAAGAGAGTGTGTAAGCACCTTTTGTCCACAGCAGAGCCTGGATACAAATGACCAGAACTCTGAACCACACCAGAAGCTCTTAGTGCAATAGATATTCAACAAGGCAAAATGCACGCCCTTCCTCTTCTCTAAACTAGTTCCGTGACAGGGGTGGAATGAAAGTCTTCGGCTTTCAATACACATCACTCTGATATAAATAACAGCCTCTAATGGCCTCAAACTTGACTTCCTCAAAGTTCAGGTCTTCACTTCCCCCAGTGTGGGGCCAAATACACCTGTGCCTCCGAAAACGGCACACTGAATTCTCTTAAGTAAATTATCCGTAGGTATTTCTGAGGCAAGGTCCTGTACCTAGTGGTTCAGTTGCACTTATATGCAAGATTCTCCGTGGCATGTCTTCAAAGACACATGACACATGATGCTTGAAATCCAAGAGAATCTGCCATACCCTGTGTTCTTTAATCATTGCCTGCCTGTCGGTGTAAACGGTTTAGCTACACAACATGCCTCTGCTGGCAATCCTGTGCTCTGTGCACGCACGCACACATCATGTGTTACAGACAGTAGAAAATTCCGTGCTCTTAGGACAGGCACCAGCCAACTCCTTAAATTGTGAAACTCAGAACGCAAGCAAAAAACCTTGTGATTTGAGGGCACTTTTGAGTACATTTCTGGAGCTTGGCCAGGAGAGCAATTTCCAAGCGAACCAGCTCAGACAGTTGACGGCTGCATGGTCTGCTCACCAGCCTAAAACCAAGTTCCTTGTCAAGCGAAGGGTGATGTCGCTTCTCTTTCCCCTAGCTCAAGCTCCAGGCCTACAGCATGTCTGCCAAGTCACAGGCAATTGGCCTTCCCAAAAATGTGTCAAGAAGAAGGAAAGAGGAGGGAGAAGCCAAACCCAGCTGCCTCCCACTGAGCCACCGCGGAGGCAGCCCACAACCAAACCATCCCATGCTGAGCAGTGAACCTGCTGGTCCACAGGCACGACAGGCTGGTGCTCATTTCAGACAAAGCGGGGAGGACTGACCGAGTTCAAACACCCTTCTCCCATGAAGTGGCCCCATACCAATCACCCAGCCAGCCAAGAAAGTAGTTTTTGTCAAGTGGGCAGCTTGGCCGGGGAAGTAATGTCTCTAACCAGAAGCTGCCTTGGAAGAGTGGCAATAAAGTTCGAGCTGGGCCTCTGTCTCTACTGGGCATGGGCTCAGAACACAGAATCCATTTGGGGGCATCTACTCAGATTCGGAGTCGGGGGGCCTTAGGAGGAAAAAAAAAGCAGCCATGGTTTTCCTGACCCAAGAATCTATATCCAGTGTGCAGTCAGGCTACCCTGAAGATGCCAGAATGGGGTCTTTCTTCCTCCTTATTGGAACATTAGTCCATGAGAACCCACTTTAAAGTTCCATAAACACATAGTAAGTGAATAAATAGTCATATGCCTGGTATTTGGGGTGGCAAACATCAATTTAGAACATTTGCTCCAGTTAAATCTAACTCAGGCTTAACTTAGAGGAGACTAGTCCAAAGTAAAATAAATAAGTAAATAAATTTATTTTTGACAGTTTCTTAGCTCTTTGGTATTATCACCTATTTTAAAAAATAAGCATTAAAAAGCCTAGACAGCAAATGGTATAACTTTATTCATCTCTCTGAGTGTTAGATAATGAATTAGCCTCTGTCTCTCACCCTCACAAAGGGTGATTTCAGACTGACTGAAGTTTCAGACTGATCTGGGCATCTAGGTGGCTCAGTTGGTTGAGCATCTGACTCGATCTCAGCTCAGGTCTTGATCTGAGGGTCATGAGTTCAAACCTCACGTTGGGTTCCACACTGGGTATGGAGCCTACTTAAGAAATAATAATAATAAATAAAATAAATTAAAATAAATTAAATTTCAGGTCCATTAAAAAGCCTACATAAAAATCAAAATAGAATGATTTTTAGAAGGAAACGTACGAGAATATTTATAATCTTGAGATAGAGAAGGACTTTCTAAGCGAGAAATAAAACCCAAAAACCACAAAAAGATTTATAGATTCGACTGCATAAGAATTTTAAACTTTGTGAAATAAAAAGCAATATAAATAAAAACCAAGAGAAAATATTTATAATAGAATAACACAGAATTAACATCCAAGATATATAGAACACATACAAATCAATAATAAAACACAAACCACACAATAATTAATGTGCAAGGAATATTCATAGGAAATTCACAGATATAATTGGCCAGGCTAATAGAACATGGCTTGTGACCCAAACTTTCATTCCTAGATAAATACCCAACAGAAATGTATGCACATGTATCCTAAAAGACATGCATAAGAATGTTCACAGCATTGTTATTTGCAAATGGCTAAAAGTTGGAAATAACCCAAATGTCTATTGATATACAAATTGTGGTATATACATATAATGGAATATAATAAGCAATGTAAATGAATATATTATAGCAATAAGCAAGTACATGAATGGCTCAGAAACATAATGTTGAATGAAGGACGCTAGGTGTAAGAGTGCATGTTTTATGATTCCATTTGTATGGAATCCAAAAACAGGCACAACTAATCAATAGGGGTTAGACATCAGGATAGTGATTACTTTTGGGGTCTTGCGAAAGAGTCTGATAACATTCGATTTCTTGACCTGGGGGGCAGATACAAGAAGAGTTCACCTTGTGTTAATTCATTCAGCAGTATACTTATGACTTGTGTACCTTTTCTTTAATTTTATACTTCAAGAAAAAAGTTCAAAAAAACCCAAATGGTCAATAGACATGTGAAATGATGCATAACCTAAGTGGTAAACTAGAGAAATGCAATTTTGCTTTTTCTGCATGTGATGCTAGCAATTATTTAAAAAATTGATTATGTCCAGTGTTGATGAGTGTCATGGTAGCTATATAAATTAGAACAGAATTTTCAGAGAGAACCTTTGTATTATTTACCAAAAACTGAAATGTGCATGCCCTTTGGTCCAGAAATTCCACTTCTAGAAATACATCCTTCAGAAATATTTATACATAAGCACACAAATTTTGCACAAGAATGTTTGTTGTCGTACTGTTTGTAACAGTGAAGAACAGCAAACCACCTACGTGTCCTATAGTAGGTTAAGAAACTAATACAGCTATACAGTCTGGAAGGAACGAAGCCATTGAAGAAAACGGGGAAACCTAAACGCACTAACACAGAAACATCTCCAGGGAACATTGTTAAGTAAAAAAAAGTAAGTCACAGAATAGAACATGTTATCTTGTGTATGTATAAATGCCTTGAATATAAACAAAAAGATTTAAACATGAATGCAAAACTAAAATCTGATGTGGTTCATTTATCTAAATAACTTACAAGTCCTACCACAAAAATGAACTCTCTTAAAAAAAAAAAAAGAACTTCTCTCTTGAGATAGAATGCACTGCATA